CTGGGGGGAAAGGGCATTGCTGCACTTTATGATGTGCTATGATGGATACTATTACTTTCAATTTTCTTTCTTTTCAAAGATGGTAACATCCAAGTCAATTTTCTGGACAATGAAAAGGGAAGATGAATGAAGCAGGGCTCTTCCAACGTTTAAGGAACATGTCATCGTACCCATTCACAGTGGGGTGCTGGGTTGCACACAAACCAATTACAGAGAAATGGGAACAGGCTGGAATGTTCCCCTCCATTCTGGGGCCAGCTTGGTGGCTCCTGCCTCGCATGACTGCGATAAACCTGTGCGTCACAGCACTGCCACCATTTCCAAACACAAGGGAAATAATATTATTCTGAATGGACTTCACACCTCGCATCCTATTCTCAAACGAGTTCTCATGGCTTAAGCTACTATGCCACCAGCGGACTTTCACACAGTCTCCATGCATACCTTCAGAAAGCAGGAAAGGAAAGTAAGCCACTGCAGACTAAACTGAGTTGTAAGAGGCACAACTTAATATATCATGTGCTGCACCACTGTGAGTTTGCTCACCTAGGCTTGTAAGCAGTAGGAAGAAAAAATAGTATATTATTAAATCTGCTGCATCAGTGGCCACTGACAAGCAGTGAGGGGTGCTGTGGAACTGAAATTGCAGCTTGTAAAGCCTGTAAAATGCTTTTTTTCAAACAGCATCTGCAGCTTTTACTTGACTTCCAGAACCCAAGCCCTGACAAAGCAGCACAGCCATAATTACCTATAATCAGCTAGAATGAAAACGATCAATAAAACAGTACCTTATAACGGAAAGCGTTAACGTTTCTTGACAACGCCTTTCATCCTTAATCTGTTTGACATTTGCAGTTAGAAATAAAGTGATGTAAAAAGTTACTGCTATGCTTTTACTCTTATTACACTTTGCTTTGTGCAGACAAAAGCGACTGGTGGTGGTGATCCAGGGATCACCAGTGCTGTGGTTTTGGAGTGTCAGAAGATGACATAACCCATCTCACAAGCCAATGTAGTAGCATATTATTACCAGTTAAACACACTCACCCGAGCACAACATAGAAGCATTTCCAGGCCCTTTATATCACCTTCACCTCTAGTACTCGCATATTCTAATAAGTATTTTTTGCAATAATTATTGCAAAAGTGCTTATTGAAGCAAACCTGACACAATTACTGGATAAACAATACTTTTGTTTCTTTTGTGTTTTTGTTTTCTTTTTTAAACATGGAAGCTTTCTAATTATGCACTTCATAGTCTTCCTACTTAGGCAAGCCAAATTTAATTAACATCTTGTACTACTATATCTGTCAATGCTTGCTTTAAAATCTAGAAATAAAAGCAAAGCTAAAGCCCCTTCTTGTCTGAGTAATACAAGGGATTAGTTCATAAAATGCACCAATACATACTAAAGCACGTATTTTTACTGGTTACTTTCAACTGCTACACCAGCAAGGTTTAAGATTCCTAAAAATGTAACTATAACTATGAACAATTGAGTAAATGTTTATTGACTAACAATTACAAGTGTTGAACAAACCCTATACCAATGAGAAGAAAACCTGAAGTCTTTCACACCGCTGTTGTTTCAGAAAAGCACAGGCACCCACAAGATTTCTGTCCCAGCACTCAGATACATGCCTTGGATATATTTATTACATACTCATAGACTACAACAGATATTGTAGCACTGCTAGAATAAATGACAGCTTTTCCCTCTGATTTTTTTATTTATATACCTGTAGAAATAAAACACAGGATTGGCAGAACTAGAAGAGGAAAAAGAATTCCTCTCTATCAGCTTGCTTTGTTTCATACTGCTGTGTGTAGAATTAGACTCATAGTTTCCCCTGATTTGTCACACAGTAAAGAAAAATATTTCCAAAAATAAAAGCTAGAAAAGAATTGTAAAACCTCAAAACTGAGCAAAGGACAAACATATGCTTGAAAACAATACGCCAATTTTTTTCTTTAACTGATTTTAAGTTGGTTATGTCCTTCCATGTAATACCATGGTGATGTTTTGAGAAAACCACATAACATTTCCAAAAAAACATACAGACATTTTCATCCATGAGGTACAGTTTTAAGAATGTGTCTGTATGTATGTATATGTATGTAAATGTTTATAATTACTCCAGAGTCTGTCTATACATAACTTTGAAATTTCACTACAATTTCTGCTGACTATCATATATCCTATCTCACAGTTGTCTTTCATTTTGTACTGTCATATGTTCCTTACAGAAGGGAGGAAAGAGAGTTCTTCTGATACATTTGCTTATGAAAGTGTTAGTTATTTGAGATTAACAAGCAGCTAAAACACCTTACAAGCAGAGAAAAATTAACAAAACAAAACAGACAAACAAAAAAAAGTCACCCCCAAACCCCTTCTTTGCTGGGCTGGGAGAATGGAAAATCTCCAAAAAGGACAGGAAAGAGATCTAGTGTCATGAAAGGCAAACTCAGAGGAAACATTTTGCACTAAAACATTTGAGCAAATTAGGATCCCTTGTTCCATGACAAGGCCATGAAGAAATCTCCTTTCTGGCATTTGCTCTAATGTCATAATACAGCAATGTTTTTATCAAATGGCAAGTTCAAAGTAAGAAAAAAAAATTGTGGGTTCTGTGGAACATCAGAAAACATTATCACTGCACTGAATTCAAGCTATTGTAACATATGCTTAACGTTTCTCACTTACCAAATACCTTGTGCAACCTCTTTTTCAGGCTTCACTCAATTAGTTAGCCTAAGAGGCTGGCCCCTGTCAAATCCCTAGCCATTTCACGGGATCATTTTATGGTTATTTTATCAGCATTACTGTATGGCATCCAAGTCTTCTGCAAAGCAGGCAGATTTTGAAATATAATTTTAAAAACACCCAAAACATCAATTCAAAAGGAAGGCCTTCAAATCCAATTACATTGTCCAATTACTTTAATACAACCTGAAGTTATCAAAAATAATCTATCTGGACCCACAGACCCACATCCACTTGAAATTCACAGCGCGTGTGTGTTTAGGAACACTTTCCTCTCCCTTGTCCTCTCAAAATAAAGTCCTCTTGTAATTTTTCTTTTCTGTACAGATTTCAAAACAGTATAGGTCCTCTTTTCATACTTTTTTTTTTTTTATTATACACACGAAGGCACAAATTACCTTTTCTTTCTTAAGTTGAGATTCTTATACAAATCTTCTTTTACAAAAAAAACCCACTGTTGCAACAGTTAACTACCCCTATTTTGAGTGTCGACATTCGAGACCAACACTTGGGAATCACAGTAAATGACTGACATCGAAGTATCTAACCACTACTTACAGCGTGGGCTATTCAGCCTCCCCCTCACTACCCAGTGGGGAAAGGCAAGCACCTTTGGGGGGCAACTAGTTCCCCCCAACACGGGCTGAGCAAGCAATCATCTGACACCACCATCTCTTTCCACTGACTGTGGGAAGAAGCCCAGACAGTTGGCAGACGCTTGACATCTAGCTTTCTGATAGCTGAAGCTAGACAAGATAAAACCTATCCAAAGTTAAGACTGAGCCTGATTCCACGCCGCTCACGTACAACCTGCCTAAACGCGTGTACGGACGCAGTCAAGTGACTGCGGCTGACAGGGTTGCTGTTTGTCAGCTAAGCTGTGACAGCTGGATTGCGTACGAGTTATGTGTGTGTCTCTGTGTGTGTGTTCCATTTACGAAAAAAAACAGCACACAGGCTTAAGCCATCTTCATGAACGAATTAACCAGGTGCACAGGGTAAGTGTCCACAGCTTAGCGGATGAGCAAGTACTCATTAAGCCACAGTAATTTGCTTGGTCAAGGCCATATATCCTCAGCCTGCAACAGTTCTGAGAAAAAGGCAAAGACAATAGTTTATTTAATCTCTCCATCAGCTGGAAAGTACAACTTTTCCAGCATCTGAACTGTGTAACATGCCCTTTTCTTTACAACACTGTATCACAAGGTCCCGTTATAGGCATTACCTTTTAAAAACATAAGAGCATGGTGCTTCAGGCTACGAAGTAGCATAAACTAATTTAATTTTTGCTCTTAGCAGATACCTAACTCACTTTCTTCACTCAGCAGATGTAGCATTTTACAGTCTTCATATTGGAAGGGAATATATACAAGTGCACATTTCCCACATCCTCTCTGTTTTAAAATCTGACCTCACACCTGCCTTATCTGACCCTCAACTCACAACCCCCTCCTAAGTATTCCACCTGGAATACTGTGTTCAGCTCTAGAGGCCCCAGCACAAGAAGGACATGGAGCTGCTGAAGCGGGTTCAGAGGAGGGCCACGAAGATGATTCGAGGGATGGAACACATCTGCTATGAAGACAGGCTGAAAGAGTTGGGACTGTTCAGCCTGGAGAAGAGAAGGCTCTGGAGTGATCTTACCGAAGCCTTCCAGTACTTAAAGGGGGCCTACAGGAAAGCTGGAGAAGGGCTTTTTACAAGGGTGTGTAGTGATAGGACAAGGGGCAATGGCTTTAAACTAAAAGAGGGCAGATTTAGATTAGATCTAAGGAAGAATTTTTCTCTCTGAGGGTGGTGAGGCAGTGGAACAGGTTGCCCAGAGAAGTTGTAGATGTCCCATCCCTGGAAGTGTTCAAGGCCAGGTTGGATGAGGCTTTGGGCAACCTGGTGTAGTGGAGGGTGTCCCTGCCCATGGCAGGGGGGTTGGAACTAGATGATCTTTGAGGTCCCTTCCAACCCAAACCATTCTATGATTCTATGATTCTACCCCTGCTCATCTCTATAATATTATGGTGCTTAAGAGGCTTCTGAAGAGACACAAAACCTGAATGAAACTAGACTTCTAGCCAAGTTTGGTATATCTGCAAGAAACGCTGTGAAAAGAGTTTTAAAAAATTCTGTTTCCTCTCCAGGAAAGGAAATAATGGGAGACAGGGAAAACTGCTGTCATCACTGTAACTTACACTGTAAGATAATGCATTTCATTTGAAAGAAAAAAAAAAGTCATCATACACTTTAAATTTGGTACAGAGTCCCGGCTTCATGTCTCCCAGGAGGTGCATCATTGTGTTCAGTAATTCACAACTTGAACTAACCAAGAACTCACGGCCACATGCCCGCGCAGCCACATCTGTGAGAGAACAGAAAACATCACAATAAAAAACATGTTTCAGATAAAAGTTTATGCTAACTATCAGGACCACTAAAAAGATATATCAGCTGTGAAGAATGAACTATGGCATCTATATAAACTTCAAACTATAATAATCTACATAGCAAATACTGAAGCAGTAAATTATACTGGTCAAACTCCTTCATAATTCTACTTTGGTAATTAAAATATTTATCCAGGGTGCCCAGTATCCATATAGTAACTCTGAATTATGAAACAAAAGGTTGGATTTGTCTGCAAATACTGTGGCACTGAAGCAAAGCTGACCATTATAGGTCCCACTTTAAAGAAATTAGATTGCTGATTGCTTTACAATTGCTCAATCCAATATACTGGGCACGTTACACAACCAAAACTCTTGTGGATGACTACTCAAAAGCTCTTTTCCTACCTTTCTGCAAGCACTGTGTTATTCACAAACCAAAAGGCAAAAATATTTCCAAAGACTACTGTTCCAAAGCAGACTTTCCCTTAATATTTCCCATTATGCTTGCCCCATACTTTAGGGTATCCTTATGTGCAAGGGGTATCTTCCAGCAACTCGAGCTTCTTTGTACTGTGCACCTGGCCAAGCCTCCTCCAAATGCGTGAAGCACGGTGTATGTAACTAGTGAGAGAACCTAGCTCCCTGGCCTCCCATTCAGGGGAAGTTTGGGGATCTGCTGCATGACAAAGTTCTTCCATTTCCATGCAGTCTCAGGTTCTCTCTCCCATGCAGGTACACCATGATGCCTTTTTTAATCTCAGAATAAGCAGAGGCACTACGGACACAGCACATAACTGGGCAGTTACTGCAATGTTTTTGCACGCTGGGCTGTGCTAAGACTGCACTGAAAACTTCTGTTCTGGTGTTTTCTAACTTCTAGATACTTGGCACTTCTTGACCTCCTCAGTGTTCTTTTAATATAGCTCTCTAGTGCAATACTACTTTACAGCGTAACTAGGAGGACTAAACTGGTACCTTCTACGTCATTCGTCTGACTGTACCCTTTATCACATTTGAGTTTCAGCAACCTCTTTCCCAAATTACAGAGACAAAGAGAGAAATCTTGGGACTATCAAATTCACTGGCAAAACTTCTATCAGCAGTGAAGCACGATTTTGTTCCACCATCCTGATTCCTCCTGACGTAGAACCCCAACAATCCCCACTCTCTCAAGCCTTTAAACATTTCCTTTGTTCAAACTTTACTTTTGCTATGCTTTTGGGTTTGAGTTTTGGTTTGGTTTTTTTTGTTTTGGTTTGGTTTTTTTTCAGTGAAGCAACTGGAGAGAACTGAATCCTGCCTTGGCATAATGCTTCACATGCTGGTTTTTACGTCAAAACCTTTAATGGCACCACAACACCTAAAATCATACATTCAAAAAAGCTGTTAATACAAGATTCACTTAGTTGTATAAATACCCACTATTTCATCTTGTCTTGCATCATGTCATTAACTAGTGTCATTTTGACAGTTGCACGGCTTCACAAAAATGCAGATGACGTATCAACCCCATTTCTCATAACCTTCCAAGCCAAAGACAGCCATACTAAGACAGATCTGTGACTTTCTACTTATTTTCTGACTCTACAAAGAAATGTTTAGTATGCAAGTCAGGTTTATTACCTTTTACTTCTCTTAGCACTATGGACTCAGGACAGTGAAGGTGAGGTCCACCTGGCAGCAACAAAATTCTTAAGCAGTTTCAAAACGCTGAGCACATACCTTAAGATGGGGCCAATCTACTCCCGTCATCTGCAATTCATACATCTTGAAGACGTTAGCATTTTTGGTGATTCAGAAAGTAAACTGCTTGACATTTACAAACTAAGGTGAGCACACACAACTAGTAAAATGGCCCTTATTTTACAGCAGACTGAAGGGAAGCGTTAGGGAATTTCAGAACTGAATGGCTTCTGCTCGTCTCATCCTTGACTATGTCACAGACAGTACAATCCCTCACAGAAGTGTCGATGACAAAATCTGCTAGAACTTCAAAAGACTAGGAAGTCACCTAAGATATCAACATTGACTAAACACCTGACTTTGAAAAGCTGTATTTGCAGCAGTACATATAAGGCAATACAGAAATTCCCAGTACCCATGGAATGCTATTCTGAGAGATAACATTAACTTACTTGTTACAATCCCTGCCAAAGCTAATACAAACTGATTCTCATCAGAATCCAAATCCTGCTGTTTAATGTCTTCACTTAATGACTTCGCAAAGCTCTCCATGGTCTGTGCAGTGATTGTGAAAAACTTTACTGCTTTACTCTGCAAGCGTGGAGGAGAAAAAAAAAAAGCTTATAGACGCTACACCAACTACGGTTATTAGATGCTACAGCAACACTGGACAATCTGCAAAATTACTAAAACATCCAGTCACTTCAAAAAAGATCCCAGAAAATAACAGGCATACAAAATGACATGTTTGATCCCCTGGCATTTGAAACCATTACCTCAGAACAACACGGGAAACTACTCAATGCTACATTTGTTTGTAAAACTTTATCATTGTGCGTTTATCTCCTAAACCCAAATAATACATATCAAACAGCAGAATTAATGCTTATTTTCAAAACCGAGGATATTATCTCTTCACTTTGCAATAGCTGCATCAAGCATTTCACGTTTACCTGGGCTACTCCAGCTGTTTATGTCAAAACTCTATCCAGCTGAAGACCAGAGAGTAACCTGATGTAGTGACTTGACATGAATTTCCTAAAAAAAATGAATGAAACAGCCAGGAAAAAAAAAAAAGCCGGATTCAATTGGATCTTAACAGAATTCAGGAATTACTCCTCAATACAGGATGGAGAACAACTGGCTAGGTAGACGTTCTTTAGAAAAGGAAACTAAGGTCTCTCCCTGGGTCACAGGCTGAATTCAAGTCAACAATGTCACTTGAGAAAGATGATCATCACACCAGAGTGTACAAACAGGAGCAGAGCCTGTACTTATGTTACACAATCTTTTCCCTTCAGCTGGAAGACTACTCCATTTGGGGTACCTCAATTGAAGAACCAGCCACTTGGTACAAAGCTCAGGGAAGGTCAAAGAGTCTGGTAAGAGGTGCAGTCAGAGCCCGCAAAGAAGGATACAGAGAACTGTTTCTGTTTATTAATAACTCTGACCTGTAAAATATTGATGTAACACTATCTTCCACAAAGGATGCTGGATTTCGTACCAAAAATAGCATAGCAGAGAGCCCATAATGCCAGGTTTCCCAGTGTCTTTAATAATTTTGCCAACCGTTTCATGAAACAGCTGAAAATTTTAGTCATTCCTGGCAGCGACCCAATGGGATAACCCAAGAAACACCTGAACTTTCATTCCTCTTGCAAAGTGACTGAAAATTTTAGTATTTTGCCAAAACTAGTGCTTTCACAGTATGTGCAAAGCTATTGGTAACGTTTATTAATTCCTCCACTGCTGTACATTCACCACAAAGACGCGCAGTTCCGGTGGGGCGATTCCAGCAACAGGACGTAAAAAGCAGGGTCAGTCAATACTCAGTATCTCCACAAACGATACTGTGGTCCCAGAGTAACAGGAATTAAGAGATTGTGGGGAAAGAGAATGGAAAAAAAGTGCACTTCTGCAAGCACTGCTGGATGTACTTCATATACTTCTGTGGATGCCACACCTCAAAGATGGCAATTTTAACACAAGCAGCGGCTGTAGTTCAAGAAGCAGAGGGCGGGAGAGAACGAAGAAAGCCTCTACTACGGCAGACTAGGATAAGTTATTACGCAAAAATGTGTTCACATGGGAACATAACAGAGTACTAAGCAAACCGAGTAGTTGGTATGTTGCGCAGAGAACAAGCAAAATCCTCTATTTGCCAGTCTCTTGAGGTGCCACTGTTGTCTTCTCTGCTGAACCTTCTTTCCAAACAGCCATTAATTAACTAGCAGTGAGGTCTGAGGAGCTGGAGCAGGGACCAATCAGGTTTATAAATAGCAAACATCACATACGCTGCACAGTGCCTTATTAGCTTAAGAGAGTTTTCATGGACTGAAGAATGTCTCACCCACAGACACTGAGATAAGGACAGTTGTGAGAGAAGCCTCTAAGGATCTTCAGCTCAGATGGTGCAATGAACCCTTTGCTGTCCGAGTAACTCCTGTGTGAAAACATCAGTTAACGTGCAAAATTGCTGCCGTAAAATATAAAGCTGGCTGTCACCACAGCAGATAACTGAAGTAGCAGACCATTTTGTGGGATCCAAAACTTGTCATGCTGGAGCAAGTCTTGATGTTGTTCTGAAATCAAACCTTCAGTTTGCATTTCCATGTGAGCGCCCTGACATGCGGATATCAAGGTTTTTTTGAGATATCTAAAACAATCTCATGGGAATTAATTTACTACTTTTTTGGCTACATGCAAGTAGTCATCCTCGAAAACTTTCTCTCAGGCTGCTTCTCTGGATGTCTCTGTCCCACTACCTTGAAAACTACTTGTGTTACATTTCAAATTTGCTGCTCAAGTTTTGACTTTCCCAGCCCACGTGGACATGAATGGTATATTGGTCCCAAACATCATTTCAGTCAACCTGCATTACAGAACTGTATGAAAGACCTACTTCTATACCTGTGCAAAGACTGAAAAAAGCTTGAGCATTATTCCCTAAGGCACGAAATGATTTTGAAATGATGCCACTCTCCCCACATGTTTAAATATAAGCAACAGTTTTAAAGCACTCTTGATGTTCTTATACATTTCTGTAGTTCATAACACCTTCTCAGAGAAGGGAGAAAGATGCTACAAGCTACACAACTTGTCCAAAAACAACCCAAACCAAAAACTTTGGATGGCAAATGTCCATCATCTTTTAATAAACTGACTCATTGCCAGTTGTAATCTGTGGTTGATGCAATGCCATACAACCCATTTATGTTTTTCCTAGTATTGTTGCAAACCCAGGCATGTTTCTTATCATGTTATGTGCACTATCACAAGAAAATGATGCCCAAAAATATTACTATGACCTTCACCAGAAATATAGCAATTCAATGGGCTCTAATGACCGCTGGGAATGACTATAGTGGACGTACTCTGCATTTCAAACAAACCTAGAAACAAAATATTGCATCTTCACAATGGGCTTTTAACTCTTATACAAATCATCAGGTATTGGTTTTGTTTTTACTTAATTCTACGTTATTTTGATACTTAAGACTGTTTTCAACAAGGCTTCTACTAATTTTACTCTCATCTAGTAGAAACATGGTCATTTTCATCACTGCTAGCGTTTTGTTTGTGGGAAACATATCGATTCAACACCGTTCCACAAGTCAAATAACAATGGCTAGTCATTAAATATTGTCAACTCTTACTTATAAGCTGTTCTGAAAATACAGAATGTAGTTTTATACTGTTTTTGTTGCTATGTGAGGGCTTTGTAGTACTTGCCTGTCTGTCTTTTATTTTAAGTGCTTTATACAGTGTTTTTACAGACTTTTTTTTCCTTAGTAACTGATGCTGCTTGGATCCTGAATCATCATCAGAAGTTATCACTGAAAAGTATCACTGTATATCTTTCTAATATCCAATATAAAGTTCTAATTGTATTTTGGTGCACCCAAACTGAAAAACCTCTCACAAATGCACGAGTTTACCACTTACTATAATGAACTAATCCTGTTCACTCAGCTGTTCATCATGCTGCTGGAAAAAAAAAAAAAAATCAAGCCAGAAGAAACTGTGGCATCAGTTCACTCAGATTAAATACAACAATTCCTTCTCATGTTGGCTGTGACAAGACTGAAAATCATATTTTTAATCAGGCTTGTTCCTCTGATCCCTCCTAATCCCATCAGCAGCACTTGGCAGTGGTAGTTGTAATATTACTACTGTCTTTAACTGTTGTTTTTGGGTTTTTTTTTCAAATAAGCTACCTGTCCACATTTAACACTGAAAATTTAATAAGATTCACTAGAGTCAAAGCAGCTAGGCTCTCTAAATTTCCAAGACTCATGCAAATATTAACGCAGCACAAAGATTTAAAGGAGTTGAGAATTAATGGATCTATCTTCCTTCCATGGAAATAGCTCCTCCAAGTTTCCTACCGGCATGGGAACTGCTGCAAGAGCCAAGAATTCTTTTCTTCTTCTGCTAGCTTTCAAAGATATTTACATTGTGCTAGCTGTACCCTTGCTTCCAGTTTAACTGTGTGTAGTGGAAAACAGGTAATCCTTGTCTGGTAACACAAAAATTAATTACTGCATTTATTCCTAGCCTGCTTCATACCATTTTACAGTTCCTACACTTCTTAAATAAGCACGGACGGTTCCCAAAGAATATACAACTCAGAAAACACTTTTGCTGTCCAATTAGTTTCTGAAATATATCCTTATATTAAAATGTGTTTTAGAGCAGGATCCTTATTTTAAAGGCCTAACAGCATTACCACTGGTAAGTATTCACCTGCCATACTTACTCCTCCTAGAATGGTTTTAACAGCTTCCTCATTGCCAGATACACCCCACAACAACGTACACACCGCTGCACCCATTTCTGTGCAATACTCTGCTTGCTGCAGGAGCTGCTGCTTGGCCTCATTCAGCTGCTGGCGGAGGTCTAGCTTCTCCTGAAATAGTGTAAGGAAATTTTGGTTGCACTTCATATCAGCCAAATCACATTTCTAGGCTAAGGGACAGAACAAGAAACAACAAACGTCACGGTCATATATGAAATGGAGAAGGGGTGGGGAGGGTGGCACACTGACAGCAGTTGCAGACAAATACCTTCTCTCCTGAGCTCCATCTAAGTAGTAAGTACATCGTGGAGGCTGACAGTAACCAGAAGCCTGCCACAAGGTCAGACCAAGTGACACACCGAGACTGAGTGGCACCTAGAGAAGTCTGATAGGAGACTCTACTCCTCCCAAGCAAATAGCTACATGTCTCTTCAAGGGAGAAGGGATTTCAGCATCAGAGGTCAGCCTTTCCAGGCACCTTACAAAAGATACTGGAAACATCTTATAGGAAGGGAGGGTTGTTTTGTTTTTCAAAACAGACTTCTGCCTTAGCCAACGTGGTAGAGTTGCAGGATATCTAGCGTAAAAACTGTTGGTTCTTCCAACTTTTTTCTAGTGGTATATTCTTGATCAGCTGTGGCAAAGTAAGACAGTCCCTGGAAAAACACAACTAAGCTTTGACGTTTGGAGGGCCTTTTCTACCAAGAAAGCCTAGACACCATTGTGCACCCAACACCTAAGTGAGCTGCTCAGTGGTCCTTGCCACAAAGCATACATAGAGAACAGAACAATCCAACACGACCAGGGCACAATTTCAATTTGGCAGTACTTTTTTCTGATCATATGGGAAGTTGTCCAGAAGAATACCATGAAATTAGGAATGATTCTAGATCTCACTGACTTCCTACCAACTGACACAGAGGTAGTGAAGCCACTGCACTTCTCAGCTCAAAGCCAGTGCGGACAGTGAGATGAGGGCAGGGATACTGCAGTCTGTGGTCTCTCAGGGCGGATGGGGGCTCCTTGCCAGCTCTGAGTAGGGTGGTAGTAGACAGTGCTGCAGGGAAAGATAAAGGCCAGTCAAGAACAGTGATGCTAACTCAAGTATTGAGAGAGAGAGACAGAGAGAAAAATTCACAGATCACACTGTGTCAAAAGAACAGAAGGATCTTGTTCTGCCCATGTTGTGGACATGAGATTTTCAGATTCCCTGCAGAAAATGCCCTCCTCAGCCCAGCCTCCACTGTGTGTTTAGCTATCAGGATGAAGTATGGGGAAATTATAAGCAATCTTTTCTATGTCAATTTTGGAAGCAAGTAAACAGAACAAAACTTTCAACCATGTATTCCAATCAAGATTTTAAAATAAGTACTTTGTCATTTTTTGGGTTCACCTCAATGTTTCATGTTGAGGGTTTGGAAACAATGGAAACAAACTCATCCGAAAATTTACATAACATGACTATCAACCAGTATAAAGCTGGTTGTACTCTGTTTGTCATCAATTATCTACCTAGCCTCCTGTATCACACCTGACAGCCTGATTTGCATTGCTTTATCATGCTGCTAATGGAACACACAAGCTAGGATTTGTAAAGTTCAAATTAAATTTGGCAATTAGATTTCTGCACGCATTTACTCTCTGGAGTCTCTTTCACCTTATAGTTTAATATATGCAAAAGACAGACACTTGCTGCTGATTCCCTAGGCATAGCAGTCCCAGGAGAAGTCTCTTATTTATTAACATTTCGATAATTTTCAAGTAAGTTAACCAAATTTTATCTTTTACGTAACTCACAGTCAGACCTATCAGCTCCTCTGCCACCACGTCCATCAACAAAATGTCCACAGGCATCTTCCCATCTAACCCCTATATTGTTCCTGATTTTTTTTTTCTGCACTGCCCTTGTCTCAGGAAAATGTATTTTTTAATACATTTTATCTGCATTTTGCATTTGGATGCTAATACTGAATAGTGAGACATAAAACTCTAATACTAAAGCTAGATCCCCCAACAAGGACACAAAGCCAACACAAGAAATGCCAGAATTTTTAATAGATCAAAAATAACATCAGAACAAAGACACGAAGCAAGGAGGAAAACAAAATAGTAAATTCAAGAGCTAGGAAAATAAACAGACTCTGCAAAAGCAAATAACCTAGCTGGAAGCAACGGTCCTGAGAGTTCACATCATGAAGCAATCGCTGTGCTATGCAACACCACCATCTTCAGGAAGGGGTCAAGGCACAAGAATAAAGCAATGCTTAAGCACACAACCATGGAAAGACAGACAAAGAAGTCATTAGCCAAGAATAACGTGCACTTCAAGTTTTTCTCAGGTTCAGAAAGCACAGCAATTCTCTATCAGTGATACAGAACTGAACAGAAATTTTGGAATGCAAAATGTTGATTTATGATCCCGTAGGAAAAGGACACTGCTCAACTAGAAAATGCGTTTATTTTATGCTTATTTAAGTGAATCATTTCCTTTTCCTTCAGAAAATAAATACATAGAAACTAATTCAGAAACTATATGCAAGGATGTCTATAGCAGGACAGCGATCAAATGAAAAACACCAGGCAAAGTGATTAAAAAAAAAAAAATCACACATATACGTGCACCATCTTCTTTTATCCCAAAGAGCTAAAGGATTTCACAATGTACATAGGCAAAATCCACTCAGGCAAATACACGTTTGTGGTGTGTAACAGAAGCCATTTAGACAACCAGTGTACACTGTACAACAGCAAAGACATGAAGAGAACAGGCTTGATCAGGAACACCAAGACAACAACTACCCTTAATAAAGCACCCATGTTTTAAGTAAAATTTTCATCCAAAAGAAATCACAAACCTAAACCACCTGCCATTTATTTTGTAACATTAACATGAATAAAGGGTGGGACTCGCTTCATTAATATCTAAAGCAGCAACATTAAATCTTACAGAGATTTCATCCTGGATTCTTATACAACTAAAGACCTGGGTGCACAGCAAAACTAAACAAGTATCTATTGCTGAACTGCAACAGCTATCCCAAAAAATACTTATTTTGAAGTAAGGAGTATCCAGGTAGACAACTATTCCATCATACTTTACATTCATACCAAACTTTATTCCAGAATGACTTTTCCACGCAGATGTGCTCTAAAACTGCATGTCTGAATTCTTCATTTATTCCTTTTCAAAAATGAAGTAATTTCTGTAGATTCATCTGTCTTTTTGCAATCCCAAGGCTGGCAGATGCTAACTCTAGAACCCTAACAAAGTGAGCTTCTGCTGATGACTGAAGATAGCTATCAGCTCCAAGGAAATGAACTTTTACAGCAAATAATCACAACTGATTCTCTCACATCCCTCTCAAAAATTAAGCCACTAGCCTGTGTGATCCTATTTGAACCCCAACAGCTTCACGGAAGACCCACAGTCTGAGAAGTCACGCTCTTTGCTACTCCTTCATTGTTAAAAATCTCTCCTCTCATAATCACTAAATACAATATTGACAGAGCAAAAGGAGCCCTGTAATCGTGCTTTGACTCACAGCTGTACGTGGCGATTGGATCAATAGGCGCATCGAGAAAGACCATTAAAACTAAACCAAGGTGCATGGCTTACAGCAAGTGAAAAGAGAAGCCGGTTTCATTTCGTACGTTGCGTTGCTCACATCATCTTCTAGTGGTCTCTTTGGAAATACGTTATAGTTACATTGAACTCAAAAGAACTGATTCCGCAAAGGACCTTTCGATGTCAGCTACACCACCATCTTCCCAAATACCCAATGTTTTACTTAAATGTGTTAACATAAATAAAACGCTAACGTTTGATTTTTTTAACCTTACATAGACCAAAATGAACCCTGCCAAGAAGCCTGGAATGCAGCCCCATACAACCACACCTCACACAGTATGGAAGTTAGACGGATCCATGCAGCTATGAAGGACTTACATACGTAAGCGGGAGACCGACTGTCCGTTGTACCTCTATTTGTACATATTGAACACTTTTTGGTACTGCATGGTATTATATTTTCTGTAGTTATAATACTGACCCTTTAGCTCTCTAAGTATCAATGGGAAAAAAACATCAGTTAAGAACTGAGTGAGTGGCTGTGAGGAGTTTAGTTGCCAGAATGGTCTAAACCACGACATACAGGTAACTTACTCATCACCTGACTGTATGAATAGAAACCCCAGATTATTTTTCCAGCTGAGCATGTATTTTGTAACAGGAATATGAAAAACTGATCATTAATCCTTTTGTTATTAAAACTCAAGTATACAGATACGAATATTTCGAAAGCAAATATACCTTCTTCTCTCTCATGCAATCTGCCTGGGCTGTTTCCAGACGGGCTCTGAAGTGTTCACAATCCATCTTCAGCTGCTCGATTTCCTCCTCCTTTTTCTCCGTGTCTGTCAGAGGATAAATCAGATAAACAAAGTATTAAGTTATGACCAACTTTAGGCTTGCACTAAAAAGAACCCACGAAGTGCAACATCAATGAGGTGCTTAAAATATTTGCTTGTGTTAGACCACCTCCTCGTGGCTAAGCTGGTGTATCGCAATTTGCCACTTTTCAACATTTCTTACAAAAAAAAAATAAATGTACACGATGTTTCTGATTTAAAACAGGGAAAGACTTAAAGAATCACATCTAGCTGTTAAATACTGTGTGCCCATAAGAGATCATTCTGGAACTGAGCTCCTCAGGGATTTTTAAAAATTCACTCATTTTCTACTTTCTTTGTTTATTTGTTTGATGACGATTTTCTTATCTACTATCTTTGAAATTCAATGAGTATAGTGAAAATCTAAGAAAAAGAATATCAAGATCCATCAAAAGCGAGTGTTTTAATATATAATGTATATGCATATGAATAGTAAGACTGAAACACAACTACTCCAAACGTTTTAATGTTTATAAAATATTATAAGACATTATAAACTATTTAAACATGATGCCAGTGACAAGCAAATTTTATGATTCCCTTAAAAAATTAAATCTCTGATGTTATCAGAAATACATTCCAATTTAGACACTTTATTTTAGTGAGTGGAAATCAAGTTAAAAGTATTCTATTTGACAATCATAATGTCTGTTCCAAAAAATTCACTTTGAAGGATATTTTTAACAATTGTTGCATTTTGTGTTTTACTTTAAAAAACATAGTTCTGGATGCTTCGTATTTATACTGAAAAAAAGGAAACACATTAAAGTAATTCCAAAAAATAATGTCCAAAACGCATCTACTGTAACCTTGGTTAGCTTAAAAAACAACCTACACTCCACTTTGAGGGCCATAACCTTGATCCTGAGTAGGGTCTACAGCTTAACACATTTCAAACAGTTCCTCTTACATATGGTCAATATTTTTGAATGTATTTACCAAAGAGCATATCCAATTCAACTTAATGATAATACCATCAAAAAAACAGTCCTTACTATCCAAAAAGCTTGGATTCTGGGATTATTTAGTAATTCTAAATTATTTGGAAATAAATTCCTTTCTTTTTTGGTCCTAATTGACAAAAAGTTATCATCTCAAATACAGACACATTGCTTTGAGTAGCAGGTATAAAAGAAGACAATCTAGCCACAGCTTTTCCAAAGAGGTGGAACATGTTTCCACTCAGCCCTTCCTTGACTCTAAGCCATCAACACTAAGACTTTTTAACACAAAACAAAGAGGCAAAGCAAGGGTCCACTCCTAGGAAACACATGTCAGGGCATGCTCTTCAAGCATTCAGTTCTTTTCAAACTGCAATCCAAAGGAAAAGAATGAAGCAGGGAATGGATTAATTGAGTTTTTGAGGAATAACTCTGGTGAGTGGTAGGGAACTTACTTTCCTTCGTTAAGTACAGAAAATTTAGTCCCATGGACCTATTACTGTGTGCATGTTAGTCTTAAGTACTTGACAGAAAGATATCTTGAGCCAGAGCAGGGCACATTCTGCTTATCAATGGCAGACCAAGAACCTGTTTATCCTTGCCAGGTAAGTACATCCAAGTGGAACCCAACTCTCAGTGAAAATCTCTCTTGCTGCAAGGAAACAAGCTCTCCTGAACAAGAATAATCACTTCCAGCCTTTGAGAGGATGGATCCACCCTGAACCCAGTATCGGCACAGCCACACAAAGACGCCACATCCTTCAACACTAGACTTCAAAAGTCCTGGGACCAAAACTGAGCCAAGAGTATTTACTGATCGTTAATACAATGCTACCTGTATCTTTTGAAGTCCTCCAGATAAAAGATGGATATGTCAACATCCTTTAAGGTATTACAATGTTTCATATCAAGGGAAACTACGCCTAGGTCCATTCTAGAGGGAAAAAATGGACAAGGTTGGAAGCTGATGAAGACAGATCTACTTCTAGCTGTGTCTCATTCCTGGAAACTCCCCTCATTATGTCCAGACAGCTCTCCCAGCTGTGCACGCCTTTGCTCTGAGGAGAATTCAAGGCTGCATGCACCAGTCCTGACATCTGACAGCCTCTTGACACACAGCAGCAGCAATCTTCGTGACACCAAAGACTGCAGCTGAGCTTCTCACTCTGCACACCATGGTCCTGGGCAGAACACAGGGAAGCCCAACAGGTTCTCCCACTGGCTGCAAGTCCCAACCCTCTGGTAAGAAAGTTCCTTCCCTCTTGACACTAAAAATCTTGAGGCTCAGACTGTCTACCTCCACCAAGTAAAGAAGAACCTTTCGCTGTCAACTTGGATATGCAAGAAATATTACATGGCATCCTTACACAAACAGGAAATATATGACTTTACACCTGTAGTGGTGAATTGGATTCTTGGAAGAAGTGGCATTTGCCCCTGAGAGAGACAGGAGACTCAAAAGCAGAACAAGACAACAGGCACAAGGAAAGACGAGGAGGCCCACACTTCTGGCCTTTTCAGGTGAGCTCATTCTCTTCCATGCTGTAAGTCACACCAGGAGATTTCCTGGACAAGAGATCTAATCTCAAAGGTCTGAGAGGTGGAGAAACGAATACAGTCACAACAAATGCCAACAAGTGATGGAATTTCAATTCTACTGATCCAAATGCTAGATCAACGTCAAATGCAATTTTTAACATGTCCCCAGTGGAACGAGTTCCACTAAACACATGCATAATACAGAAAATTTGTTGGAGCTATTTTTCTAAGATTTCTGGAGCCAAACACTCTTCCTGAGAGGGGCAGTAAAAACAAAATGGACCTTCCTTTTTGAAATGAACAATTACGCTGGCAAAAACCTTAGTGAAGACCCTGACACGGCCCCAAAAATAGGTGTTGGTTGCATTGACTGTTATCAGCTCAGATCTCAGATACCACCTATGGGATGCTGCCATAGCAAATGGGTATTCCTATTGACCTAGGTATACAAGTGAAACATGCAGAGATCTCAAGGCTTCTCAGAGCTACTCAAGACTCCATCAGTCTCACAACTGAATGGGCCAGAGGTGTTGAAAGCCTCTGACTATAATCTGCACTTCTTGAGGAGCATACGAACCTGATAACCACTTCATGTTTACAACACCTAGAAAACTAAAATAGCTGATAAAAGTCTAGAGATGCACAAATCACCCATTAGGCGTCCCTAAGAACATGAAAAAAACATCTCTAGTAGCTGCCAGGACTCCTGTAAGCTTCATACACCAACACCAAGAGACTGTATTTAGTAAACAACACCAGCGAGCTCAACACTTCGAGACTGAAGACTGCTTGTGTCCCTGTGATGTTCAATCTTTTGTGAACTGTATGCTCCAAAGCCTCCTTTCAGTCTACCTTATTGCATGCTGCAGAAGTAGGAGCAGATTGGAGTAGCAAAAATCACCACTGGACTTGTCCAGCTGTAGGGACAAACAATGGCAAGAACCTGAAAAATATTCAAGGACCTCATTAACTGCAAGAGAAATCTCCACTGCAAGGATACACTCAAGAGAGTTCAAAGGCTGACTCAGCTTCAAGTACTCCTCCAAAGGACCTAGAGTGCTGGTAGCCAGCAGAACATTTGAAAGAAAGACTTAAAATCCCCATGTTGATGCCGCAAACCTGCTGCTTGGAAAGCCCTGATAGTGTCTCCTTGGTGCCTGGCACAAGGACCATTAAGAAGGATCAGTGAGAGAAATCTTGAGACTGAGCACTGATAACAGTAGGTAAAACAAGGATCTGACTAGCTAAGGTTCTGGAACACTTAGTGCAACTGGAAACAGTCCTTGATGCCTTGCAGTAGCATAAAGAGAACACTTCCAAATCCTGCGCCACTTCTTATGACACGGATGATGTCTCGACTGGCAGCAGGAGAGGTGGCACAGTCTCCTTATCTCTGTTAGGATTTGATAGCACAGAATAATCTTTCCGAGCAGTGGATCATTGAGGCAGCTGGAAGCTCTGCCCCAATATATTACGCAGCATTGGAGACAGGCCTTGAGGCTTTATCTTACTCTTTCTTAGGCAGCTGTTGCAAATTAACTTTCATTGAATCACTTTAAATTCTAGAAGAGATAACGATGCACACTCTATAATCTGTCTCAGTGCTTGTCCCGTGTCTTTTCAGACAAAACTATCTTCTAGGAGAACAGAAGAACTGTAATGCTGCGTGTAAGCTACAGGCCCTACGGATGAAACTGACTCAGATTTGGTCCTGATGGCATGTTGGGAGCAGTGCAATTGTTGAAAAAATAATGCACAGAGAATCA